GGGGCGGGGGCGGGACGACGCGTCCCGGTCCCCTCCCCGGTCCCCTCCCGGCGTGGCGCGGCGGCCCGTGCATTTCCTCCCCGACTGCTCCCACCTGTCCACAGGCGGTTGGAGGGTTTGCTTTCGTCGTCGCGGGCTGTCCCTGGTCCTGCGGCTCCCGGAGTTCTGTCTCGATAATCACCTGTGATACCTGCAGCTTGAACGTTCTGTCTGGCCCAGCTGGAGAAACCCCTCTTCTTCTTTTTAAAATAAGTCTTATTGTGTATGTCTAAGGCATACACCGTGAAGTTACGGGACACAAACTGAGGGTAAAGTGGGATTGAAGCAAATTAACGTACATCTATCATCTCACGAAGCCACCCATGTTTTTATTGGTGGCGTTTTTGTGGCAAGAGCCGCTAAAACTCACTTTTAGCAGGAATCCCAAATACAGTACACTTTTATTAACCGCAGTCCTCAGGTTGCACACTAGACTCTAGACTCGCTCATCGTACATGTGTGCGCTATTTTGTATCCTCTCCATTTCCTCCCCCACCGCCATAACCACTATTTTATTCTCTACCTCTGTATACTTGACTTTTTAAGAAAATTCCTCATATAAGTGGGTTTATGCAGTATTGTTCCTTTTATGTCTGGCTTATGGCTTATTTCCCTTGGCATAATGTCCTCTAGGTTCATCCATGTGGCAAATGGCAGGATCTCCTTTTTCAAGGCTGAATAATATTTTATTGTTGTAATGGTTTATTTTAGGTGTCAGCTCGACTAGATTAAAGAATATATATAGAAACCTGGGAAAGCGTTATTTTGGTGTGTGTCTGTGAGAGTGTTTGCAGAAGAGACTGGTATGTAAGCCTGAGTGGACTGGGTGGGGAAGATCCACCTTCAATATGGGCGGGCACCACCCAGTTCACTGGGGGGCCTGGAGAGAACAAAAATGGAAGAAAAGGCCAATCTCTTGCTCTGTCTGCTGGGGCCGGGATCCTCTCTTCTCTCTTGTCTGTGAACATCAGAACTCAAGATGCTTCAGCCTTTGGGCTCCAGGACTTACACCAGCAGCACGTCAGCACCCCATGGGCTTCCCTGGTTCTGAGGCTTCTGGACTCCGACTGAGCTGCGCTACCAGCATCCCGTTTGCAGAAGGCCTATCATGGGACTCCCCAGCCTTCCTAATCACGTGAGCCAATTCCCCTAATAGATCCCCTCTCATGTATTTATATGCGTATCCTGTCGGTTCTGTTTCTCTGGAGAACCCTGACACAATTGCGTGTGTGTGCCTCTTGTGAAAGGAATTATCAGAGAACCAGATCTACATACAGTACTACTATTTCTGCATGGATTGTACTCTCCCGTCTCATCTTCCCCACTGTCCCAAGACAGCACTGCCTCCAGCGTCACCCCTACCAACTTGACCATGTTTAATAGTTCCTGCAATTCTAAACGGGGCTTCCAATATTTTGACTCATAAGCACTAAATTAATATAACTAAAATGACCTTGCTTCATTCCTTCCAGGTACCTTGCATTTAAGCTTTTGATGAAAATTTGAAATGAGTGTTTTAGCACAGTGGTTCTCAAGATATGGTCCTGGGATCAGCATCATCAACATCACCCTGGACCTTGTTAAAAACACACATTCTCAGGCTTCATCACAGACCCAGTGAATCAGAAACCGTAGGGATGGGGCCTAGGCATCCATGTTTTAGCAGTCTTCCATATGATTCCAATGCAGCTGAAGTTTAAGAATTGCCGATTTAGGAAAATAACTTTTTATAATGACAACAGCTTATATTTATGGAAGGTTTACTCTGTAACAAGTACTATTATAAACATTTTACAAATACCAACTCATTTCAAACTCAACAACAGCACCAAAAATACACAAAGGGAAAGTATTCACGTTATTCCCATATTTATAGATAAGGCACACAAAGGAAAGTGACTCACCCCAGGTCATACAGCCTGTAAGCAGAGAAGCCAAAGTTGATGCAAACCCAGGCAGTCGCCTCTACAGTCTGAATGTTTAGCCACAAAGCTATGGCTGCCTCACTTAGCTAAACGTTGGTAATGTGCCTTATCCAATGGCTAAGCTTTCAAGTGATTTATAATTAGTAATAAGTAAAAGTCAGTTACCAAGGTAGAATTATAGAATCAGGGACTCAGAGATAGAAGTAACTCTAGAAGCATGTATAATATGGACATGGTCTCTAGCTCTGCAGAGCTGACAAGATTCTTTAAGTTAAAAATTCGTATGTGGTGTCCAAGATTAGACACTTGCTTTGGAAATATGGCATATTTGTGGCTTCTTGGCATCCAGTTTGTCTTTCTCCCAAAGCTCCTTGGTGACAAACCTCATGGCTTTGTATTCTTTTGTTGATTTCTAATGAAGGTCTAGACTTCCAGATCTCAACTAGGATGAACCACAGAAAGATGTCTGCGACATGATATAGTCCTTATTTTCCCAGCAGGGCCACCCAGGGTCATTTTCTTGCTATCAGTTTCAAAGTGAACTCTTGTTAGGAATGTTTGCTTGTATTGAGAATTTTTATAAGAAGAATTTCTGAATTTTTTTTTGTCAGAGTTCTCCATGTATTTTCTACTTTTATTTAATCTTCCAGAATAATGAGAAACCTGAAGTTCATGTTGGCACTAATTCTAGTCCAACTTTCTCTACTTAATACTAATTATAATGGTAATGTCAATAATTGCTTTTATATTTAGAGAATATGTACGCCAAAGTCTTTGTATGTGTTTGCTTCATTCTCAGAAATATTCTGAAGAAGCAGGTGCTAATATTATACCCACTTTTCAGATGAGCCTGCTGAGGATAAAGGACGTTAAATGATTCACAGCAAGAATACAATACTGAATTAATTTTAAAACTGTAAGACTTATGCTCTCAAGCCCTACATTTTTTTCCAGCCTCCTCCTGCTTCTGTTTAAATTTACACTATTGGAAACTTAGGAAGGTTCTTCGTAGATAGGATGCCCCCCACCCCCAACCTTATTAAAGTTTAATCCCCACTGTAACTGCTGAGGGTGAGAAATCCTATTATGGTAATTGAAAGGTGGGGCTTTGAAGGATTGGATTGCAGGACCTGCAGTAGTGAATGGATTCATAATGATGGTCAGGGGTGTGGTTCTGAGAGCTATATTTTATTTCTCTCTTGTTTACTCCCTATTTTTTAAATTAGCATATTCATTGTTACAAATCATACTTATTCTTTATGTGCCTTATCCAGTCTCTCCCCTTCCCCCTCCCCCCTCTAATAACCATGGACTTGTTCTCTCCATCTGATAGATTAACTGTTCCTCTGTTGGTTTGTTGCCTAGATGATCTGTCCAGTGCTGAGACAGGTGTGATCAAGTCCTCCCTGTTATTGTAAATCAGATGCTTCTTCTATTACTCTGAAGTGTGCTTTGTGGAGAGAGAGGACCTCTTCTTTTTTTTTTTTTTTTTGGTCTCCACTGATGTCTCTCCTTGTGCCAATGCAGTTGACAGTGTGACGTGCCATCTGCACGGTGGCTGTGATGCTGCTATAGAGACCAGCCACTTTTGCAGCAGCCATGGCAACTGCAGTAGTGGCTATGGTGGGCTACCCACGTGGAACTGGTGTTTCTCGTGTGCTCTTTACCTGGTTGCGGCTGGGTTCGGCTTCCCCCAGCTCCATGCCTCATTCTAAGAAGTTGCTGTGGAGCAGTTGAGGGGGAGAAGGAGAAGGGAAGGGGGAGAGGAAACTGGGTGGGAAGAGGGGGAGGGAGAGGGAGCATGATTGAGGCCCACGGCAACCCCATCATTCCGGCAGGGGAGACCAGAGGGTTTCCAGCAGCTGCTGGGTTGTCCCTGAGCTGGTGCAGATGTCGAGGGGCATGGCTGAGGCCCTCAGTCCCCCACCACCCTGGCTTGGGAACTCAGGGGGCTTCCAGTCCTTCTAGGTTTTATAGGTGTTCTTTGGCAGTGTTAGACCTTTACTGGTTAATATCAGACTTTGTCTTTGATCTGTGGGGTTTTTTTTTCTTTTTCTTTTTCTTTCAATTCTGTTCCCACCACTAAAACTGCGCTGGAACTAGTTTGTTGTCCTTTGCTTACTTCTAAAATGGGGGTTATATCTTTACCTGGCTTTGGTATCAGGATGATGTTTGCTTCATAGAATGAGTTTGGGAGATTTGCGTCTGTTTCAATCTTTTGGAATAGTTTGTAAAGAATCGGTGTCAATTCCTCTTTGAATGTTTGGTAAAATTCTGCTGTGAATCCATCTGGTCCTGGGCTTTTCTTTGTTGGGAGCCTTCTGATAACAGCTTCAATCTCCTTTATTGTTATTGGTCTGTTCAGATTTTCTACATCTTCATGGCTCAATTTTGGGAGCTTGTGTATGTCCAGAAATTTATACATTTCCTCCAGATTTTCAAATTTGTTGGTGTATAGTTGTTTATTGTCATCTCGAATGATTCCTTGTATTTCAGATGAATCAGTTGTAATATCACGTTTTTCATTTCTAATTTTTATTTGAATCTTCTCTCTTATTTTTTTAGTTAGCCATGCTAATGGTTTGC